TAAATATTAAAAAAAGAGATTCCTTGTATACATATATTGATTTTGTATTTTACGATCTATTTTCTGTGGACTAATTATTTTTGATTAAAATTGATAAATGAAACTTAAATTATACAGTTGTTAGTTAATTGTAAGTTATTGCATTGTAATATTCAGTGTGTACGCACAGCAGTACATTAATAATAATCTTTTAAATATATATACTGTATAAATGTACATGTATTTCTGGTTTTATAATGTATAATTTAAAAAAAAAATTATTTCAAAATATAAATATTTTATTTGTACTTGTGAATTTCGAAGTTTTTAATTCATGCAATGCCTTTGAAGCAACTTAATTTATAAATTACGAATATTTATGAATAATGCTTCAAATAAGATCTTTTGTAAACGGAAATAAAAAATCGCCAACGTAATTATTAAGTGATTATAAGTAAAAAGTACGGAGTATAATAAAAGGTATAATATTATAACACTTTTATTCAAGAACAAAATGATATACATATGAAATGCATTTACATGGGAAGTTGGTAAACCTGGATGTTGACGAAGACCGCATGGAAAAGGTGAAAGTATTAAGGGGCAGAGAGGAACGACAAATCAGGAGCGCCACAAAACGGAGATGCGGACATTTCACAAAGCACTCAGCATGGATCGAGCTCCATGTTCGCCTGTGAAAGTGATGCGGTGTCTCCGCGATTAGGGGATACAAATTTCGTACCTAATGGGAGGACGTTGAACAGTTTATATGCGTTACTTTGTGAATTAGTATTTACAATCAATCGTTCCGAACGTGGTAAGGTTAGTTTAAGGTTGTGTAATCTTTATACGTGTCAGAAAGAAGCGTGGCAAAACGAATTTTGGTTTCGTCGAAATGCACGAGGAAATCCTCGTAAAAGTCGATCGCGACAACACGATACAATAAAGCTTTGTCGTAAAAACATATTGAAAACAGCAACAGTAAGGACGATATTAAGCACGAAGACCAAAATAACGTTAAAAGTGGTGGCAACGGCGAGGACAGTGACGACGACGACAGCGGTGGCGCAAGGTGTGAGGACGAGGTGAATGCACGGCGGCCGCGGTGTGTGCCAGTGGTGTGCGCGCTCGTCGCTCGTGGAAACCCGCCAAAACCCGCGGCCGCGAACAACCACCAGCAAGAGCAGCAGCAATAGCAACAACAACAGCAGTAGAAGGAAAAGGAGAAGGAGAAGGAGGAGAAGGTGGAACAGCATTAGCAGTAGTAGTAGCAGTGGTGGTAGCAGCAACAGCAGCAGCACTACCACCACCACCACCACCACTACCTCCACCTCCACCACCGGACCACCACCACCACCACCAACACCAATACTAACACCAAACCATTACCATCACCATCATCATCACCAACAGGAACAGAAGCAGCAGTAGCACGCGACGTTGTACTGTTTTGACAACTTTCCGCCGCGTCGGGGCGTCGCGCCGTTTTTCTCGCGGCGGCGGCGGCAACGGCAGAAACAACGACAACAGCAACGGGGTCGGCAACAACTTGTTATAAGAAAGTCGCTCGTGACGGCAGT